GAACAGCGCCACCCAGCAGAAGTCCCACGTGAGCCCCATATGTCATTTAAGGAGAGGGAGAATAAGCAGGGGGACTTGGTAAGCTTGTTTAATTAGCCGGTATCCCAACATTACCATGTCAATGCGAGACTGTCGTAAAGGTCAGCAAAGGTATATTTACTTGCTCTTTTCCTTTGGAAGTTTTCAAAATCTGTCGTGTACCTGACACTTAGGTCACTTGTCCATGTGCGCACATCGGCCAACAGTGGCCCTGGAGCCCTCGTCCCTCCCGGAAACCCATGTCACGCCTCCCCTGGGCCCCGGACAGCAAAACCCCAGGCAAGGCGCCCGGGCACAGGGTCGGCCGCCTCCTCCAAGGATCCTGCCTGTGGCTGATTTGGAAGTCTCGAGACCCTCATCTCTCAGACACTCAGAGGTAAGTCACTCTGCCCCCTTGGACTGTCCAGGACCCAATGGCCTTTGCTGAGCCCCTGCCGCAGAGCCAGCCTCCAGCCCCGGGCAGCCACGTGAGCCAGGATTAGGGGTGGCCCCTATGCCTGGTCATGTCTGAGGCTGCACATGATGGGCGGGACTCAGCGTTCCCTGGTAGCAGGGGTGCAGGTGAGAGCTGGAGCTGCAGCCCCCATGTCCATTGCCAGTGGGTCCCACAGGGCTCAGGGCTCAGGCGGGGGTGGGGCAGTGGCTGGAGGGTGCCAGTGTTCGAGAGAAGTCCCTCTCCTGCTCAGAAACTCCCCTGCCTTCGTGGTGTCCTCGGGGTCCCTGAGCCCCAGCTCTGCCCCCTCCTCTGGGCTCCCAGCTCCCAGCTCCCTGGGTCACCCTCCCGCAGTTCCTAGAAAATACCAGCCACTTTCTGGCCTCTGGGCCTTGGCACTTGTCCCCTCTGCCTGGAACCCGCTTCCTTACACTCACCCTAGTCTGGGCTGGGTCACTCGGATTCTCTCTTGGGTCCCACCTCATGCATCACCCCGTCAGGGAAGCCCCAGTCGACAATTCCAACCCAATGACTGTGCCTGTAAGAGATGCTCTGCCTTGTTCTGGGTCCCCAGAGGCCCAAGTTTCTAACAAGCATCCCTGGGAAACAAATTTACCACCGGCTCTCGTGTCGCGCCCCCTACCCCAGGGCGGAAGAGCTGGGGACACGGTCACCCCCTCCCCAAGCTCACTGCCAGCTAACAGAAGAGCTGGGTCGGGAGAGGCCTGGTCACAAGCATCCTCGCTAAGCCAGGAAATAGGCCTGGGGGGGTGCTCATGTTGCTGGGGGGGGGTTGCCGCCAGACAGGAGGTGACACTGTGTGAGGGTCTTGACTCCCTGAAGGGAGCAGAGCAAGTGGCTCCTGGGGGCGCCGGGGGTGGGGGCTGCACCTCAGGGCAAAGCCAGTGCAGCAGCATTAGAAAGATCTCTCTCGCGTGGCATGGTGAGCTCCCCATTCCTGGAGGTATACGAAGAATAGCACCAGCTGCTGGAAAAGGGACTGGAACCTTGCACAGGGGTTCATTTGCCCATTGAGGGCTTTCCCTTCGGCTCTCAAGATTGAGGTATGGCCCAAGGTCACAGGCAAGGCCTGAAGGGGGCCCTCCTGCCTATCCAAGCCATCCCCCCACTTGGGGCCAATCATTAATCAGCACCGCCTGAGCGGCGGCTCCCACGAGTGCCCCCGGCTGCCTGCCAGCTCATGGCCCGTCTCCCGTCTCGTGCCCGGGGCGGCCTCATGCCTCTGACAGGGGCGGGCTGTGCCACTCGGCCCCACTTCCTGCTCGTGACTCCGGGCAGCTCAGTCCTGGGAGGGACAGGTGCCCGCTCGGACACCCGTCACGGCTCCCGCAGGACCCCAGAAGACAGCCCTCCTGGCTAAAATGGGAACCGGGCCTTCCCTCAGAGGGGCCGGCCTGGAGCCAGGGAGGGCTTCAGCAGGGCAGGAGGCCTCCGCCCAGGTGGTAGCGAGCCCACCCCTCCCGCCCCCCCCACCCCGGGGCAGAGTGAAGGGAGGCCGGGGCTGAGCCGGCCCCGGGGCTGAGGGACCTGGAGGACGAAGCTCCCGGATGTGCCTGACCTGGCTGTGGACAGGAAGAGCCAGGAAGGGGGAAAGAGCCTTCTCCGGGGAAAGGAGCTGTGAACAAGCAGAGCGGAGGGGACGGGCCTCCCAGGGCTGCAGGCAGTGGGGGCAAAGCCACAGAGGAGCCAAGGGTTGGCACGCTCTGGGGAGAGGAGGAAGTCAGCCAGGGTGACGCTCTGGTTTCCAGAAGGGATGGAGGGAGGTGGGGGTGAGGCGTGACAGGGACTACCCAGACTCTGGGTGAAGGAGTTAACTTTATCCTGGGGTAATAGGGAGCTACTGCAGGTTTTGGAGGAAGGAAGTGACACGGCATGACCAGGACTGGAGGGGGGGCAGGAGGAGGCACAGACAGCTGCCCGGGGAGGGACAGAGAGGCAGGCCCTGCAGGGGCTGTGGGGCAGGGTGGAGGGATGGGCAGGGAGATGCAGGTTTCTGCTGAGGCAACAGGTGCTCAGGTCAGGGGGAGGCAAGGATGGCAGATTTAAGCAACAAGAGGCTGAGTCTGATGAGCCAGAGGTCCCCTCGGGTGAAGCTTACTGAGTGCTCCCCAGGGAACAGCCACCTTGGCCGCAGGGGAGAAATGACTAGGGCCGGGCTCAGGGCTCAGGAGACACAGCCGGAGCGACAAGAGGAAGTCCCGGTGAGCTGGAGCCCAGATGCCGCAGAGGGGGCAGTCGCCCACACGGAGGTCATTAACAGCCTGGACAGGGGTGGCGGGAACAAGAAGGTGTGGGATGGAGGGCGCGTATTGGGAGCAGAGAGCGCTGCCGGAAACCGCCTCTGAATGCTGGTGGAAGGGAGAGGAGGTGCCGCAGGTCAGCTCCCTGGAAGCAGAGCCCGACGCGTATTCCCAAGGGGAGCCCAAGCCACGAAGAGCAGGGCGCCCCACCCACGCAAGGGCAGAATTTAGCCCCCCCAGAGTCAGTCTGTCTGCGGCTGCAGCCGACCCTCCTTTCGAGGCCAAGCTGCAGACCTTCCTGGGCTCCTGCTGGGCCCAGGACTGGGCTCCAAGAAGGAACAGCTGGGAGCTGTTAGCCGTGATCCCGGCCAGTAAAGGTAATGTGGGTGGGCACTGGTAGTGTCCACTATGGGGCGGCCGGCACGGGTCATGGGCTGGGGCCAAAACCTTTCCACTTGGCCTTTTTATTGGCATTTATTGTGGACCACATGTGAGCCTCCCCCTGCCTGGGACCCTACCCTGAGAAGGTCTCTGAGTGGCCACGGCTCCCTCACTGCCTTTGTCTCTTGGTCCCGAATCAAGTCCAAGCACCCACCACCCTGCCCAGCCACAGGACCATGTCCACTGTGCGTCTCTCCGCATGGTGAAGAAGCAAGGTTAACCCACGGGGTGGGAGATGGGGACCGGGATCGGAGCCCCAGTCCATGAAACTTGCAGCCGCAGGTGACCTCCTGACTCAGCGGCGCCATGGGGGTGCTCGCAGTGGCCTCAGAGCCCAGAGTCTCGGGAGCGAGGGGCCAGCGAGGCAAGCGGACCCCTGGCAGGGAGCAGGCAGTGAGCAGGCACCAGGTACCGGTGCTGACGCCCTCCCCCTCCCCCCTGCAGAAGAGGGAGCAGGGAGCCCCGCCCTCCCCCGAGGGCACTGCAGGGAGGGAGCTGCACTTGGGTGGTGGGGCCCCGGGGAGGGGGTGGGGCCACCCTCCTGCCTGTGCCAGGTGCCACCCACAGGCTGCTCACCACAAAGGGGCCCCAGGGGCTTTCCCCTGCGCCACCCCAGCCCTATGCCAGGCGTTCCAAGCCCCGCAGAGCTTGGCTCTGGCCTGGGTCCCAGCAGCTGTGGCTCCTTGGCCCACTGGGACCGGAAGGACGTGCTCTGCCTGCAGGTGGGGGTCTGAAATAGCAGGGCACCCCGCAAGCCTGGCACGGTGCCTCCAAGTTATTGCGCCCCCGTCTGACCCTCCTGGAAGGGCAGGTCGCATCTCCTCCCACCCCCACCAGCTCAACAGCAGTTTATCGAGAACCTACTGTGTAGGCCCGGGAGGGGCACTGGGGGCCCAGATGATGGCCTGCTCGCTCAGAGCTCATGTTACAGCTGAGGACCCCGAGGCCCTGAGTGGTCCCAAGGGCCATGCCCAGGGTCACGGAGCTGGGTTCCAATCGAGGTGAGGCTCTGCAAGTCCCACTTTGCCTTGTAAGCTCTCCCCAACTAGGTAGGCCTCAGTCCCCTTCCCTGTAAAATGGGCACCAGGGATCCTCCGTCGGGGCTGTGTGAGGACACGGAGATGGAGCATGTGACCTAGGAATAGGGCATGGCACGGTGGGACACAGCCAGCAGACCTCTGGCCACCCCTGCTTGGCACCCTGCAGTAGCTGCCACTGCCCAGAGCATCGGAGGCCCAGCCCCCTCCCCAGCCCCACTCTCCCTGCACCCCTTGCACCCCCTGCCCCCCGCCCTGCCCGCCAGCCTGTCGGATTCCTCGGTGCTCGCACACGTGTGTGCACAGCACCCCACGCGTCTCTGCTTGCGAGCTCCCTCTGCCTGGAAAGCTTCCCCATAAAGGGCACCCGTCGCCTCCAGCCCCCATACCCCAAAGCCCCCTGCAGGAACTCCTGCTCTTTTCCCATTTCCAGATACAGACGAAGGCAGGGAGAGACGAAGCCGCGTGCCTCCTTCCACACAGCCACCGAGCCCTGCGTGTCTAACCGCCACACTGTGCTACCCGCTGGCCGCCCAGGGGCTCATAGCCTCACCAAAGGGCCGCCTCCTCCAGCCCCATGGCCCACAAGACACCCCTCAGCCACTCACGCAAGTGGGGTCTCCCTGGGGAGCTGCTCCCCTCCAGGCCAGGCTCGGAGAGACACCGGGGCTGGTGCAGCCCAGGGAGGGTGGGCTGCCCTGCGCAGCTTCCTGAGGGGTGGGGGGGTCGTGCCTGGCCCCCGGAGCCCCGACTGTGGCTGGGCCCCTGCAAGCCCAGAGGCGCCCTTACCTACTCGGAGCTCTTGCCCGAAGACGGTTTTCTCGCCGAGGGCGGAGCAGTTCCAGCGTCCGAAGCGGAACTGGTACTGGCACTCGTTGATGCCCATCTGCGCCCCCTCCCCAATCACGATGATGGCATCGGGCCGGCTCTGGCAGATGGCGCGCTGCCGCGGGGCCAAGCCAGGGATCTTGTTGCAGATGATGTTGGCTCCCAGGGCCACGACGGACGACAGCGCTCTGTGGAGAGGGGAGAGGACACAGGGAGGTGAGTGGTGGCGCGGGGCACCTTGCCCTCTGCCTGCCATCCTGCCTCGCTCAGTCTCTCGGTCAGCTGGTAGGCTCCAGGTGCCCTACGTGCCAAGCTCTGCCATCAGGGAACAAAACACAGACCCCTGTCCTAGAGAATCCATCTCCCCTGGACCAAAACACGTGATCCCAGCCTACAAAGGTACTCATGCCTGTGCCTTCTCAGCCTCCGCACGGCCAGAGCCGTGGGTCACAAGTCCCGGGAGTCAACAGTCCCACAGAATGCAAGAACCCCAGCTCCCCATGCCTCTGAGTCAGACACACAGACCCTTCGGGTCAGAGGACTTCATGCCTAGGATTCACCCAGCCACCCCCGAGAGTACACCCCCAACGCCTGACCACTGGGCTTCCCCAACACTAGCAGCTCCTGGTCCAGGCAGGACTGCTGAGCTGGCTGATCCTGCTGGGAGCCAAACCCACAGAGTCCTGACTCCCCTTGCAGCCCATCTGTAATCTTGGGAAGGCGCTCTGCCTCTCTGAGCCTCAGTATTCACATCTGTGAAATGGGAGTGTAACACATCTGCCCCCCCCAGCCCAGCACCACTACTACCACATAGGCTCAGACCAGACAACTGCAGGGAGAAAGGCTGCATCCACGGGGACGGCTGCTGTTGTCATTCACTCGTTTCTGGATGACTGGGTGGACTCGGGAGGAACTAGGAGCGGATGTGAATTGAGCACCTAGTATGTGCTGGGCTGGGCAGGGTCCTCTTTGCAACATTGTATTCTCAGAGTGGCCCCCTGGGGGCGCCGTGTCATTAATCTGGAGCCCTCTGGACACTGGAGGGCACTTGCCAGGCTCCCGCTGTTCACATGAGGTGTCCCCGGCATGTTTCTTTTCAGAGAGGACATTCCCCTCCTGTACAGGTAACCATTTTAAAGGGTTCGGGTCTGCAGCACTCAGTCATGTCCCAATATTTTCCCCACCCCCAAAATGAAACACCATTCCCCTCAGCAGACACTCCCTATCCCCTTCCCTCCCCCAGGCGCTGCAACCACGAATCTGCGATTCTAGACTTTTCGGAGAGATGAGGTCACATAATCTGTGCCCTTCCGTGTCTGGCTGCTCTCACTTGGTGTCATGTTTCCCGGGTTTGGCCCCACTGTGGCAGGTGTCCGTGCTTCCATCCCTTCTGGGGCTGAGTAATATTCCATCGTGTGCAGCGACCCCCTTGCGTGTATCCACGCACCAGCTAGCGGCCGCTGGGCGGCTCTGGGCCCTTGGAAATGGTGCTGCTACGAACATGGGCATGTAAGGTTTTGTTTGAGTCCCTGTTTTCAGTTTGGGGGGCGCGTATTCCGAGGAGTGGAATTGCTGGGTCATATGGTCGGCTTTTGAGGACCCACCAAACTGTCCTCCACAGAAGCAGAACCCCTTACTTGTTTCTGAGCACCCACGGGGGTGCGGGGGGAGGACAGCAAGTGGGAAGGAGTTGGGGGCTGGTTTGGGCAGACCTATGGACAACAGCTGAGTTTCAGAGTGCCACCTGGCTTCCAAACCAGAGACCAGACTGACTTAGTGAGGGACAAAGTGTGGGAATGAGGGAGACAGCCAGGGGCTCCCCAGAGCTGACGTCCGTGCCCTGGCCTCCCAGTATCCTGAGCTCCCTCCTCCTGCCCACTGGCCAGAGAGAAACAAGTCCGTGTTTTTCCAGGGCAGCCAAGCACCCACAGCCAGCTGGGAAAGTCCCCGTGTGACGTGAGCCCACAGCACGTGCCTCAGGCCAGGCCCCCCTGCGACACTCAATCCCCACAGCCCGCCCGCCCCACTCACTAATCTGGCCAAGACCCCCCTGGGTCTCCCACGGGCACAATGGGCAGAAATGCTCGAGGCTGGCGCGGAAGAAGAGCATCTGGGCGGGCTGGGCTGGGAGCGGGCTGGAATCTGGGGAATTCAGCCCAAAGTAATTGTAGATGCTCAGAAAACCGACCCGGGGAACTGAGATGGATGGGAACCAGCCTCCAGGCCTCAGGAAGAAGGCCGCTTTGGATCCCGGACACTGAAAGCAAGCTTCACATTCCCAAATTCTTCCAGCCATCTCCAGGCTGCAGAGCCCCCCACTGCCTGGGACAAGAACCCTGCTGGGGGTGGGAGCTTGGACAAATGGGTTCGGAACAGGGGACCCCAGTGGACTGAGGATGGACCCAGGGGCCGAAACATAATCGCAACCCTGGTTTCCCGCCTCCAAGCAGACCCCCCGGCCCTCTTCCAGGACCCAGGTCTGACCGTGTCACTCCCCTGCTCAAAGTCCATCCATAGCTCCCCAGGTGCCTTGGCGTGGAATCGGAGGCCTCCAGGATCTGGCCTCCTAGCACTCCACGTCTTTGCTTGCGCTGGTCCCTCTTGCTGGGGTGCCTTCCTTCTCCCTTCTTCTGTCTGGCAAAGTCTACCTGCCTGTGCCCAAGCACAAGTCCCCTGAGCTCAGATGCCTTGGCCCCCAGGCATCCGAGGAAACACACAGTGGGCACTTGTCTCTCGAGTACCAACCTCAGCCGTGGGCTCTCACTGTGGCTCTTTCCACAGCCTTCCCAGCAGACCACAAGCTCCTGAGCGCAGGGCCAGGTCCCGGCTAAATCTGGGGTTCCCGGGACTGACCCCGTGGGTGCCCATGAGTGCGGACTCGCTGAACGAGTGAATGAGTGAGTAAATATTCACAAATGATGGTAACAAAAGACAACCCAGCTAAAGACGGCCCAAGGGGGGCCGCCTGGGGGGCTCAGTGGGTTAAGCCTCTGCCTTCGGCTCAGGTCGTGATCTCAGGGTCCTGGGATCGAGCCCCGCATCGGGCTCTCTGCTCAGCGGGGAGCCTGCTTCCTCCTCTCTCTCTGCCTGCCGCTCTGCCTATGTGTGATCTCTGTCTGTCAAATAAATAAAATCTTTTAAAAAATTTAAAATTTAAAAAAAATAATAAAGAAATTAAAAAAAATTAAAATGGCCCAAGGACTTGAAGAGCTATTTCTCCCAAGAGCGGTAAATGGCCAACCAGGAAGTGAAAAGGCTCCGAATAGCACTCCTGAGGAGGGAAGCGCAAACCAGCAAGATGCCACCTCGCGCCCCCCACCCCCAGGATGCCTCCCGTCGGAACAACAGAAAGCCTGAGGGTTGCTTGGGGAAGATGGGGTCGGGAGAGCGTGGTTTGGTGATGGACACTGGGGAGGGCATGTGCTATGGTGAGTGCTGTGAAGTGTGTAACCCTGACAATTCACAGACCTGTGCCCCTGGGGCAAATAATACATTATATGTTAATAAAATTCATTAATAAGAACCATCGATTAAGTTAATTAATAAAATTAATAAGTAAAATTGATTAATTGATAAACTTAATTGATAAATGAAATTTATTCACTGGTAAATAATAAAATCAATTCAAAAGAATAAAATAAATTTAATAAATAAATTAATAAAATAATTAATTTTAAAAAGAGCAACAGGAAGTGCCAGGTGTCGGCCGGCGGTGGGGACATTGGCGCCCTCGTGCATCGCCAGCAGGAATGCAAAACGGGGCAGCCACTGTGGACGACAGTCAGGAAGTTCCTCAAAAAGTGAAACGCAGGATTATCATAGGGGCCAGCAATTCCACTCCTTGGTCTATGCCCAGAACTGAAGACAGGTGAAGACAGGTGTTCAACAAAGGTGGATGTTCATAGCATTGCTGTCCCCAAGAGCCAGAAGGAGGAAAGAACCCAGATGTCCACCAGGGGCTGAACCGGCAGACAGACCGTGGTCCATCCGAACCATCGACCCTCCAGGGAGGGACCTCAAATCCAGTACGCGGGGCACACAGACACCCAGACCGTGCATTGTACGCCTGCACTTGCACAAAGTGTCTGGGGACGGACAGAAAGTGGGCCCGCGGTCGCCCGGGGCTGCAGGGAGGCGGCACGGGGAGAGCCGGCTGGGCAGGCGTGATGGCAAAGTCATGGAGCCCAAAAGAGGTGATGGGGAGTGCGATACGCCTCTGCGTGACACACTTTCCAACGGTTAAAGTGGCGAATTTTGTGTTATGTGTATTTCAAACCCAATTTTTAAAAAGTCTATCTATGCACAGGACTTCTGCACCCTTGGACACCGGTGGGCTCGGCAGGAGGGGACAAGAGGGTCCTTGCCCGGCTGATCCCTGCTTGTATACTTCCCAGGACGTGTGGAGCCGATGAAGCAGGGGGCAAAGGAGCCTCCGGCGGCCCCCAGTACCCAGAGCACGGGTCAGAGGGGAGGTGAAGACATCAGGGAAGATAGTCACGCAGTATTTTGTGCCAGAAACATAAATACTCAGATACAACTGCTAATTCAAAATCATTTTGCAATTGTCTTCTTTAAAATGTGGGGGTTTATCCGCTCATGTAATGAGATATGCGCATTCTGAACACCAGACGCAGACCACACGGGCCTCTGCCGGGCTCAGTCCTCTCTCCTTACATCCTCGTGTCAGAGCTGTGCAGACCGCAGCTGAGAGAGGCTAGGGCGTGTGCCTGGGGCTGCACAGCCAGGCTCAGAGCCCGGTCTCTGCTTCCAGAATGCAGGCAGAGGCCCATGGCAGGTGCATAACAAGTACCAGAGCCGAGAGCCGGAAACTATGCCCACTTCTTTGTCTCTAAACACGGCTTTAACTCCTTCTCTTGCTTAAAATCCTCCAAGTTCCCTCATTCCTTCAGTCCGGGTCGATGGACAGCTTCCACGGCCGGAGTCCAACCACCCCGCCCCTTCCCTCCCCTGCAGCCCGTACGTCGGCTCATTCGCAGGGAGTCTGCCCACGGCCCTCCCTGAGAAGGCCTGGCCCACCCCAGCCTTGGCCACACTCTTTCTTCCACCTGGAGGGGCAGGGGCTGCAGTTATGGGAATCCTCGTTAGGGAATCTGCCAGAGAGGAAAGGGCCAAAAATGCATGGTAACTAGAAATTGGTGACCTCAAGGAGGGCCAAGGAGGATGGAAG